GTTAAAGGGGTCACGGAAAACAGAGGAAGCCCAAAAGCAGAGTGCCTTGTATTTAAGTAAAAGCAGCCGTTAACTTACTTTATCTATGCAGGGCTTGACACCAATCATGATGGATTCACCAAAAATCCTTCCATCTTTGCTTAAGGCTTTCCGGGCTTGAAGCTTAGACTGGTATCGAATATGCATCCAGTTCCCTGTGTTGGACATCTGTATGAGATTAAGGGAAACTGTGAAATTCAGCCTCTTCAAGAATGAGACAGAATGTTTGCAGAAACAAGTCAAAAACTAAGACGTACCACATGCTTTAATATATTTCCATACTGAGCAAACTGTAGAAGAATATATGAAGCTGATGCCTGAGGAAATCTGAAAGACAGAAAAACAACCTCAGAATATTGTAAGGAGTAGTTGAAGAATTCTGGTGCTCAAGTACAACCCTACGAAGGGTTTTTAGAAATCCAAGAGACCACCGTGTTAATGCCATTGCAGCAGCAGTGACTCGAGGAATATTATCTCCCTGGCATTTTTACCTCTCCACACACCTCAGTGGGAGAACTGAAACCTGAAAAAATTAACATGTAGCTTAAGGAGCTTCACTAAAATATGTGCATTTGCTGGCTTTAACCACACCTGGATTTCTGCAGCACCTAGGACTGCCACACGACAGCAACGCCCAAGTACTTCTTTCCATATGTTGCAAAGACTTCACCCATGGTTTTTCTAATACTTTGAAAACCAACTTACCCAAATACAGTTACCCAGGTGTCGTCAAGTTGATCATCTGAAGTCAGGGAATCACCCTGGGTATAAAAAGGGTCCAGCTGAGCAGGAGAGAGAGTAGTCTTCCTAGGTTGCCCAATACTTGCAGGACTGAAAATACTTGAAGCTGTCAAATTGAAAGAGCATTGTGTAACAAATTACTTTTGCAAGACGGGTAAGCCTAAGAGCCTAGAGTAAAAGAATAAATCCAGTATCAGACATTTCACTTGTATGTGGCAGAGTTTGATGGCGATTTACTTGCAGACACAGACAAAGAGTAAGTCAACCCACACTTCACATCTGCAAGCATGCCATCAAGCTTTATGAGTAGCAACCTAGCTATCTCCTTGGCCTCTGAACACAAACATCTTAATACAGAATCCAAACAGGAACAAGACACAGAATTAAGCTTAGCAGGAAAACACATGTTCATGCACAAGACAGGAAACCTTCTGAAGGTGGAAGGCGACCCATCAATCTCAGCTGCTTCACTCAAGCACAAGTTTTGTGCTCAGTTCAACAACACAGGCCCAATAAGGAAGAAGAAAAGTCGATGGAAATTCAGTCACTCAGAATAGAAAGTATCTCCTATTCACATCCACGAACCTTTGCAAAGATAGTAAACAAAGAGGCAACTCCTTCATAAATTAGCAAGGAGTTGACATAGGTTAAACGGCTATGATTTTTGTGTATTAAGGAAAGCAGTAACGAAGCATATCTATAAAAACATACAAAACAAATACATATATGTTTTGACAGGACACCTACCTGTTCCAGGAGTTGATGGCATCGTTCCCGCCAACGGGCTCTGTGTTAGCAAAAAGCTGGCCTGCGTTAAAACACAGAAAGTAACAAATCATTCCTACAGGTGATCTCTTCTGACCCAAGAAGTGCATTTACAGGTAACTTAAGCATCAGGCAAGAATATTAACTGGTTGCCTTCAGCTCCTCCAAAGTTTTAAGACTAAGAACAGACATTCGCATGTCTATTTAATCAAACAGGATTACCAGAAGTTATTTGACAATGCTTTTACACTCTAGCATGCAGCCTAGCAATAGCTTGGACATCCAGGCGGCTTTAACTATTACATTCTGGAATTTCCAACTGATTCCTACGCCTCAGAACAGAATGTAGTTCACTCTCCTGATCAGAGGCTTAAATGCAACTATCAGAGAGAGCATGGGAGTGCAGATCAAGCTACAGAAGGGAAACATCACAAGCAACAGGATTCCAGCGTCTGTCTACAATATTTTATCATCTACAAGAAAGAGCTACTAGTATAAAAGAAGAGAACTTACTTAGGCTTAAGGGTGAGCTTTAGGTAACAGGAACTGAAAAATCCACTACCTAACAACAATCACAAATCCTCTGTGAAACCAAGTAGCTTTAGGTACCGATACTCTATAAGTTGACCTTAGAGTTCAACTTGTTCAATATGGGCATCGCACTATTGCTGGAGAAGGATAGTAATTCACAAATTCACATCCATCCTGATGGAAAGGATGCCAGTATCACAAGTTACCAGCACCCGATTCACACTGTCTAAAGGGCTTAGAAATCATGGGAGCATAACCCCCCAAT